TTTATTATATTATCCAAAAGACAAAACATTGTGGATGCAGACTTCGAAAGATATGTACTATGTACAGAGAAAATGCCATTAGTGAACGCACAAGTCGAAAGTGATATGCGCGTTTCCAATCTGGAAATTTGAATGTGACTGATGCTATTCACTCTAGACAGCCATCCGCGGATATATGTCGATGATCAATTCTTAGCCATGGTGTCGAATGACCGACATTTCACGACGCGAGAGATCGCAGAACATTTAAATATTCCACCATTCAACTGTCGCCGACCACTTGAAACGCTTGGGGATGGTGAACAAGACCCATGTTTGAGTGCCATATATATTGACTGAGCGGAATCTCATCAACCGAATTTCCACATGTGATTTGTTACTAAAGCGTTACCAATCCGACAATTTCCTGAAGCGCATGATTACTGGGAATGAGAAATGGATTTTTTACAAATGTCTTGCGAAAACGGTCATAACAAAAGCGACGAGCTGGCCCAAACTGTGCTGTGGCCAAAGCTGGTTTGCACCCGAAAAGGTGCTATTATCGATTTGGTAGGATTATCTTGGAGTAATTTATTACGAGCTCCCGCAAGATCAGACCGTCAATTCTGATAAATACTGTGCCCAATTAGAAAAATTGAAGCGCGCTATTACAGAAAAACGGCCGGCATTGCTGAACAGAAAAGGTGTTGTGTTTTATCACGATAACGTGAAACCATATACATCTTTACAAATTTGTCAAAAATTTTTAGGTTGGGATGTTTTGCCACATCCACTATATTCTCCCGATATTGCTCGGATACACATTTGTTTCGCATTCTACAGAATAATCTTCAAAGAAAATCACTTCTGTGGAGGACATCAAAAAGCATCTGGACAACTTTTTTGCTCAGAAGTCCCAGAAGTTTTACGAGAAGGGAATTATCGGAATTGCCGGCACGATGGCAGCAAATCATCGATCAAAATGGAGAATATATCATGGATTAAATAAACGTTTCAATGTTTCAATTTGATGTCTCATTTTCACTTCCAAAATGATACGAACTTTTCCTAATACAACCTAATATATTTATGTAAATGTAAATATAAATGTAAATGTTTGTTCTATTTAATTTTTGAATTATAATTATATTTATATTCAGAATTATAATTATGTTTTAATATTTTTTAATAAGTTTTTCTATTTATTATCAAACTAAATTGAGATATAAATGATTACTCGACTATTTTTTATCAACACATTATTGGTATTAATTATATATAAATACTTTTAACATTTTTAAAAATATTTTTATGAAATATTTTTATGAAATATTCAAACCTGTTCTATTGTTTTATTAAATGTGAAAATGTTTAAAATATATTCTTTAAATAAAATGAAGTTAAAATAGATATTATAGATTTACTAGAAAAAGATATAAAAACAGAAAACGTAAATAAACCAAGTACATCTAAATCATATGAATATTTAAACACAGAAATAATTAATCTAGATACTGAGTAAATAAAAACATTTGTTTTATTTAATTTATTACTTAATTTTTTTATTATTTCAAGAAAATAATATGAAAGACCTTGAACATAAAGACATCGAAATTATTAATCAAATTATGACGACTAAACTTGTCCAAACTGAATCAAAATTAATCTAATAATACAAGAAAAAGTTAAGATGTAAAAACATTTATTTTCAGAAGAAGATAAACAGATTACAAAAAAGTTAAAATTTTATGAAACTAAAACAAAAAATTATTTATATTTGATGATTGGAATTTACATTGCGACAAATTTTTTCCGTCAAATAGCTACATTCGTTAAAATTCAAGTACAACTTCATAGACAATCTACACAAGGAAAAAAGTATTCTATGGAATTTAAGCAATTTTGTTTAAAACTTAATTTTTCTTCACTAAAAAGTTATAAATTATTAAGTAATCATTTTTGTTTACCTACTTCAAGAATACTTCAACGTTCAATACAAAATTTAAAAATTTCATCAGGGTTACACGATTATATATTTAAGGTTCTAAAAAATAAAAATAACTTTAGTAATGTTGATAAATTCTCTATTATGTATATTGATGAAACTGCTTTAAAAGCAAATCTTTTTTATCATATCAATCTTGATGAAATTATTGATTTCGAAGTCATGGACATGATAAATTTTTTTTATCAGCATGTAGCTGTTATTATATTGTGAGGTTTATATCAATCGTGGAAACAGTCGCTTGCCTATTTTTTTTAATTCTACATTTAAAACAAATAATGGAAGTTATTTTAGAAGCTATTGTAAAATTGCAAAAAAATTGGATTAAATGTAGTTGCTCTCATTAGTGATATGGGTAGTAATTTTGTACAAATGTCGGAAAAATTGAATGTTACAAATGAACGACCATATTTTGAAGTAAACAATAATAAAAATTTATTTTTTTATCTACCACATGTTTTAAAAGCAGTTCGCAAGAATTTTGCCACAAATATTATTGAAATAGATTCAAAATGCATTTCTTGGTCTTACATCGAAAGTTTATAGAATATAGACAAAAACAAAAATAATCGGTTATCATCTAAATTAAGTGATTCACATATACATTTAACAAATTTTGAAAGAATGAGAGTCAAATTTGCAGGTCAAGTTTTAAGCCATACCGTCTGCTGTTTTAAGAACTTTTATTTCATTAGATATGTTAGCAGAAGATGCATCAAATACTGCTACATTTATAAAAAATATGAACTTATTTACGATATGTTCAATTCTTCAACAATACAACACTTAAAAAATATAAAGAAGCGTTTAAAGGTGATGAATTTTAGATTAAATTTTTATTATATATAAAAAATATTTTTTAACATTAAAGATTTACAGTAAATCAAATAATAATATAATTAATACAGTAAAATCTTTAAATTATGGATATTAAATATTAATAGTTTACTTATGGCCATATTTGCAAAAAATGATGCCAGATGTAAAATTTAATTTATTTTTATTTATGAGAGATTTCAATCAAGATCCTTTGAAAATTTTTTTGGTAAAGTTAGATCACTATAAAATTTTCTTTTTAAAAAAAGATAAAAAAAGGGTATTAAGTATAGTAGACGCTTGAAAAAAAAAAGAAACTGTTGTTAACCAAGTTAAAAAATAGAATCTAATTGACAATATCTTTTATTTTAAAGAAATAGAATCTAAGTGCTACGTATCTTTGTATCTTCATTGAAGATTCTTTTTACTCCAATCAATGTGGTAGTAGTTTTAATTCTTTAAATAAAATTGTGTTACGAAATTGCTATATCTAACAATTCTAGTTGTTATCAAACTAAAAAATAAAATCTAAGTGCTAGTATCTTTGTGATCTTTGTATTCATTGAAGAGTCTTCCTATTCTAATTCAAATGATACTAGCTTTAATTAAGAAATAAAAAAAATTTGTTTCCACATTGCCAACTCGACTCATTTGTATAAAAGATTTAATATCAATAACTGGCGCCAAGTTATAATCCTACTATAAAAATTGCATTATTCTACTAAACTCAAGTGATATATATTTAAAAATAAAATCTAACTGGTAATCTTTTATTAAAAAAAAATAGAACCTAAGTGATATGTATCTTTGTATCTTCATTAAAGAGTCTTTTTACTCTAACCCACATAGTAGTCTTAATTCTTAAAAAAGAAATTTGAATTTTTAATGAAGAATCTTCCTATTTTGACCCAAATGATATTAGCCTTAATTCTTTAAAAAAAAATTTTGTTTCCACATTGCCAACTTAAATAATTGTAACAATGTATAAAATTTGTATAAAAGATTTGATATCAATAATTGGCCAAATTGTAGTCCTAAACATTGAGCTACAAATCCACCTTAGTCAAATTATGTATTTCAATTGTATAAAAGATTTGATATACTATCATTTAAAAATAGAAAACCCAAGTAATAGTATCTTTAATTTAAAAATAATAAAAATCAAATTATATGTATATCTTTCTATCCATTTATATCTATATATTTAAGATTTTTTTTTCTAATCCAAATGATAGTAATTATTTAGCTTTAAAATATTATTATATTATCACAAAATTGCTTTACTCAACCTACTTTATTCAACCGTTTTTATCACAAAGAATTAAAAAGTAACAGTACAAAATAAATGATAAAATTTTATTTAGATAAAAAAATTTTATGTAAAAACATTTGGCGCTGCTCAGATTAAATAGGAAAATAAT